TTGATTTCTTCTTCTTCGCCAAACTTTCCTCCATCAAAGCCCTCAAATCTTCACACCAATCTTCATCTCAATTATGTCTCATCCTCTCCTTCCTCTGACCTTCCTTTTTCTTTTTCTTTTTTTTTTTTTAGCTTTGCCTTCTGAAAATCAGATCTTGGGTTTGCGTGGAACCCAAGATCCAGGGTTCCTCGCAAACCCAGGAGCCTTGGTTCCCCGTGAACCTAGTATCCTGGGTTCCTTGCAAACCCAAGATGAACCAAGCTCTCACCTGGGTTCGCGATGAACCCACCCAGGTATGCACTAGCTACCCAAAAGCAATCGCCCCTTGAAATTGGCCCCATGTGTTTAAGATCCTATTTCTCATAGATCTTGGAATATTCTGCTTGATTTGGCTGTTTGAATGAGATTTTCATTGTACTAAGTTTATGAACCCATAAATAAAATTTACAGATTGAGTTTGCTTTCATGTGTGTGTGTCTCATGATGTTTTAATTTCTTGAATTTTTTGCTGCTCTTGGGTTCATTTCCGATTCTGTTGCTGGATGTTTTTGGAGTTGTTTGTTTGAGAAGAACATGCTTTTTAATTTTTGGCGGAGATTGAGAACCCAATCGCATGAGCTGGGTTCATCCTGGGTTCTTGGCGTGCTTTGGGTTCGCGACAAGATGAACTCAGGCGCGATGAACCCAACAAAGGTTTAAAAAAAAAAAGAGAGATGATAATGAAGGGAAAGGAGAGGATAAGATAGAAGGGGGAAGAAAATGGGGCAAATTAGTGAAGATTTGAGCTTTAATTGAGATGAAGATTGGTGCAAAGATTTGAGGGCTTTGATGGAGGAAGGTTTGGCGAAGAAGAAGAAATCAATGGATGAAAGGGGGATTAAGTTCAAGCAAAGGTAGAAAGGATCGAGGATTTGGGCTTAGGAAGAAGATGAGGATAGAAACGGGAAATGAAAAGACAAAGGGAAAAAATGATTTTTTTTCTTTTAATTATTTTAGAACCTATTGATTACATGGAAAATAAATTTGATCGCCAACTCATCAATTTTGCAATGTGTAATCATATGTCACCATTAAAAAGAAAAAAAAAAGACATTTAACGGATTATTGTGTCATGCTGTTACTTAACTAATAAAAGGATTAAAACGGGGTCGGATTTCAAATAGTAAGGACCAAAAAGAGGAGTTTTTCAGTACAGGAATTAAAAATGGGCTTTTTCTTATAGTAGATGGATCAAAAAAAGATATTTAACAAAAGATTTATCTAATATATACCCTTGAGACATGTTTAAAGGCTTATGTAACTTGTGCCTTAGAAATATATTTAAGCGTTTTTATCTAATATATATTCTTAAAATATAAGTTAAAAATATAATAAATATATTTTTTAATAAAATTATTTTAAAAAGTAAATGTTGATCTTTAATTTGTCAACTTTCTGCTTATATGTTAAATTGATATATAATTAAAGCTAAAAAATTAAATTGATATTTTAATAAAAATTTAAGAACTAAATTAACACTTATTTTTAAAGTTCAACGAGTATTTTAGTACCCAAAATTAAAGTTTAAAACCAATTTTAATATTTTTTTAAAATTAAATAACAATTTTCATAAAATTTAAAAGTTGAGGTATCAAACTAATATCTTAACTAATAAAAAAAATATCCATTTTGGTGAATAAAAAAAAAAAAGAGAAAATGATCCAACGCCTCTGCAGTAAACTTCCCCTTGGCTCGGAGTGAATAATTTTTTTTTTAAAGATTGCACTCCGCACCTCATTGGTATATGTGGTTTGGAGTGCAGGGACAATCGGTCAACACTTCTCAAAAAAAAGAAAAAGAAAAAGGTCACCGGTACAAAAAAAATTCACAATTTGACTATTGTCTCTTGTTACATGTTTTGAGTTGGTTAAATATTTTTTTTGGTCCCTTTACTATAGGAAAAAGTTCATTTTTAGTCCTGCACCAAAAAACTCTCATTTTTTATCATTATTGTTTGAAATCCAACCCCTTTTTGATCATTCCATTCAATTTTGGTTGATATGACAGGTTAACTAATGGAAAAACTTTTTTTTTCTTTATTTTAATTATGTGAAAAATCCACCTAGTACAACTTGATAACATGACCAAATTTTCCTGCCTAATTTAACATTGAAAATCATTTAATTACATAATTACCATTATAAATATTTTAAAAATTATTCTATAATTAAAAATACTAAACTTGAATTACTTATCTGCCCCCATCTTCTTCCCACTTCTGTCTTATCCTCTCTTGCCTCATCTTCTTCCCCTTTCTGTCTTATGCCGCTAGGTTCGTCGCGAACCTGGATTCGTCATGATGATCCAATTCTTTGAATGATCAAATCAATAGTCAAAATTCAAACACGAAATCAAAATATTTCATACTTAGAATCAGTAGATGCAAGCTAAAATCTAATATAAAAAACAAGGTACATAACAGCAGAGATCCAAATCTCCAACTATAATACTCAAAATCATTCCTAAAAACGATCTAATCATCAAATGAAATTCAAAAGCTAAATCCACATCATTCATGTTCAGAGACAGTGAAAACGAAAAATGGACTACGAAATACAAAGTCCTAGCATTCAAACATAATCAGTAGATGAAACTAAGAGCTGGGTTCATCGCGAACCCAACCTAGATCCTGGGTTCATTTTGCGAACCCAAGTGCTGGGTTAGCGTCACAAACCTACGCGAACCCAGGCGCTGGGTTTGTAACCGAGGCGCTAGGTTAGCATCACAAACCCAGGTGAACCCAAGTGCTGGGTTTCCCATCATGAACCCAGGTGAACCCAGCGCGAACCCAATGCTGGGTTTGCAAAGATCTTAGCAAGATCTGAAAGGGAAAAAAACAAAAGAGGCTAGAGGAAGGAAGAAGATGGGGGCAAATAAGTAATTAAAAGTAAGTATTTTTAATCACAAAATAATCTTTAAAATATTTATAATGGTAATTATGTAATTAAATGATTTTTAAGGTTAAATTAGACAAAAAA